TTTTTTTCAATTTACTTGATCTTGAGAATGGTTCCATGATGGACCCGAAACGTCGATCTTTCTTGTCATTAAATTTTGTTTTGAGATTATGTTCTTAATTGATTTAATAAATAAAAGCCACAAATAATAATTTGATTTACTAAATTTCATTATATAAAAATAGTTAGCTTTAACATAGATTAAAAATATGTTACACCTTACTTATATTAATATTTGGTCTTTTTAATTAATTTTCTTTTTTTTTTTATTGGAAATTCCGTAGTGCAAATTCCGTAGTGCAGAGTAAATTTATCAAAACCCATTAGGTTTACAGTAATATGAAACAAAAATTTAGTTTATACAGAAATAGTATCTAAAATGATCTCAGTTTCCAAAGTTAAAGCAAAAGATCTAATCTAAACACACAATATTAGGCAGGATGTATTTGTTTGGAAAAGAACCCACTCTTTTGTGAAATTAAGAGGTTTATAGATGAAAATTGTAAATTTAGAAATAAGTTTTATTTTTTCCTTTGAACTGAGATCAATATGTGATTTTTAAAAATTTCTTTAAAAGCATTTGTTTTTTAACAATTACAGCAGATGCAAATAATGTTCTGAGAGATAATCGAAAAACAATGGCCACTGAATAACATTTTTTGATAGTAGAAATAAAAGTTTTAAAAATGTTATTTCACTAACAAAGTAGAGGAATGACATACAGTATACAGTACTTCAACTACCAAAATATGCAACTAATAGATAACCACAAACTTCACTTTTGTTAAATATCAAATGAATTAACTTTACATGTTATAAACAATGCAAATAAACAGTAGTTAAAGCATGTGGATCAATTGTGTGTTTGAATCACAAGTTCATGTATGGGGAAAGGGAGAGGCTTACTTTCTCGCAAACTTAGCAATAAATTGTCTGCTTAGAGTTTATTCAAAGAAGTATTGCTTTTAGTAATTCATTCATTCTTTAAACTCAAGACGCTTTTCAAAACATGTTGCTAATTTAATTACAAAGGAAATTTGTAGAGAATAAAATATAATTTGTTAGGTTTATTTAGATTTGACTCTAAAATATACCATGAGGGTTTCTTATTTGTTTTTTGTTTTGTTTTATAAATTTGTTTAATTAAAACATTCTTGATTATACCGAGCTTGTTACTGTCACGCACTATAAAACTTTGGGCGATCTGACGTCATCACAGCCGAACCACATGTCTAGTCTGCAAAACACCCCACGAAAATGGACCAATTGGCGGGAAGGAAGAGTTTTTGGGGGCGCAACCTGTTCTGTTTACAACTAGACTGCCGACCAGCAAGTGCCATTGCCGTATGGAACGCCGTTACTGCCTTTGGTGGCTCTTTTCCGTTCGGCGCATTTGTTATTCGGCCCTTTTAACATTACGTTCGGTGCTTTTAAATTATGTTCGGTGCTTTTTACATTACGTTCGGTGCTTTTTACATTACGTTCGGTGATTTGAACATTACGTTCGGTGCTTTTTACATGACGTTCGGTGCTTTGAACATTACGTTCGGTGCTTTGAACATTACCTGTCTCTTATACACATCTAGATGTGTATAAGAGACAGCTATCATTTTCAATGGCGCCCTCAATTTACACAGAAAGTTCAGTACAGCTATGTTTGAAACTCGAGCGTTGCGGTGTTTGGGTGTAATCAACTTACGACATACGATCATGTGAGCCAAGTTCCACAGCACCCTGTCTGAGATGTTAGTTTGACATGGCTAACTTGTTGCCGTACAACAAGGATTGAACTTCGTATTTTCCAACGGCTGTGTATTTTTCCCATGTGCGCTACTAAATTTGGAACTTCGACTTGTGTGGTTGAAATTACTTTAAAATTGGCCTATCCGGACAGGAAAATTCCGTCGATATAGCCGAAATTCGACTTATAAAAATTCGAATTAAACACACAATTTACACAGTAATACATAGGAAAGAATTGGGACTTTTTAAAAAATTCGACTGACGCGAATTTTCGACTTAAACAGAGTCGACTTTGGCGGACTCGACTGTATATACATACTTATATATATATACATAATATGTATATAGTATGTATATATGTTATAATGTATATATATATATGTATATATATATACACATACATACACTGCAAAAAAAATCTGTAATTTTACAGAGAAAATTCGTCTGTAATTTGTTTTTACAGGTTTTTGCTCTTAAAAAAACATAACATTATTATTCGTTTTTGTTAATTAAGCAACAATCTACATAATGTATGTTAAATTACATGTACGGTATTTATAAATCTGTAAATTTACAAAATGTTATTTTTCTGAGTCATTAATTTTACATTTTTTTGGTATTTTTAATAATTTCTGTAATACAACAGTGGTTTTGTTAAATTAAAACCTTATTTGCATAATGTTTGTTAATTTACATATCTTGTATATTTTGATAAATCTAAATTTATGATTGTTTTTGTGATATTAATTTTGCTTGTGTTTTATTTTAACAGAATATTACCGGTAAATTACGAAGTTTACAGAATATATGTTATTTCTGAAAACTCTGTAAATCTACAAACTCATGTTACGGTGGTATTTTATTTGTGGTTGTGTCAAAACACTTCGTAAATTTACTATACTTTGACGATTTTTAGAATTAGGGCGTAATATTTTTTAAATTTTGTTTTTGTTTTTGTTTTTTTTAAATAATAATAATAAAAATAATAAAACTTTGAAAATGTCACTGGAGATATCACGTGATGAATAAACCGCGCGCTGGAAGATACGCTGATGTGCGCCAAAAATATCTGTCGACCAACCAACTCCTGTCGGCCGCAGACAACATCACGCCATCACCATCTCATCTTCCTTGTACTTCTCTGGTCCTCACGCTTCGTAACGTGCTGGGGTTGTCGACTGTTTCTCTCATTAATAGTGCTGAAAGTCTTCAAAAACGAGGTTAGATGTATTTATTGTGTTCGATAGATAGTTTAGAAACAGGCCTAACTATATTTCCTGGCTTTTTAATGCCTGAGCTGGGGGGAAAAGGACTAGCCTAGCCTAGGCCTAGTGAATTTTTGAATGGTTTTAGGTAGGCCCTAGGCTAGGCCTAGGTTAATTTTCTCCTGTCTCTGTCGGTGTTGCATGCGTCGCTTGCACCTTGATGCGCGTGCGACAAAGAGTATTTTTAGCTATAATAACCAGCCTATTACTGCTAGGCCTAGGTACATGCATACACATGTACACTTGCAAAATCTGTCAACAAAAAACATCTTCAGTGAAGGATATACACCAACCACTACAGAATACATAGAAATGTTGCAAATTTTAGATTTCCATGTGGTGTGCAGGGATGCTTTCAGTCATTTCGTACCTATTCTTCTTTCAATTCACATGTTACTCGATATCATAGACACTTTCGGAAGGAACATGCCATTAATATTAGAAACAGTACAGATCTTGTGACTGTGAAATGTAGTTTAAACATTTGTCAACAAGTTTGTAGCAATATTCGTCAATTGATTAAGCATTTAAAATCTCATATTGGGAAGTTTTGGAGGTGAAATGCCCTTTTTGGTCTTGCTCAAAGATATTCAAAAATAAGTCATCCTTTGCCTCGCACATTTCACGAAATCACAGGGATTGGTCTGTTCAAAAGATTGCTCCTGAATATCGGCAGATTTCCCAACTGGTTGAAGAACATGTTGATGTTGATTTTGATGGAGAATTAACAACAGATTTGAATTTTGAAGATGTAGCTCTACAAGTACAACAAGATGTTGATAATACCTTTCAGCAATGTACTGCTAGTAGTAGTAGTATCCCTGTCTCTTATACACATCTAGATGTGTATAAGAGACAGGTTGTGAAGTTTATTGTTTTTGATGATAATCTTGGAAAGTATTAAGATGTTTCTTGTAGTTTTTTTATCATCAGTGCATGGATAGCAGCCAAGTAATTATCATAAAAAAGGGTTCTTTTTAAAAATGCCAATGAAAAAGAGCTTATTTGTTTTTTATATTGTATAATACTATACAGTACAAAAAAATACAAATTTTATGAAAGATGTTGATAATATAATTATACTTTAACAAATTTGCATTAAAATGTTTTTGAAGTATAGATTATTTTAATCATTCATAACATTTGTCATAAGCATTTTGATATCTATATTTAGCACAATTTATTGTAAATATCATTGTATCACTTCTATAATAGTCTAATCTTTAAAAAAAAAAAAAACTTGGAAAGTATTAACCAGTTTCTTGTAGTTTTTAATGATCAGTACATGGATAGCAGCCATGCAATTATTATAAAAAAGAGTTCTTTTTAAAAATGCTAATGACAAAGACCTTATTCGTTTTTTATATTGTATAATAGCTGTCTCTTATACACAT